CCCCTACAAAAATTCTTCCCACAATGTCATCAAGCATATATTTCTATTGCATGATTGTTACGATAGTTTAGATAAAAATAAAGTAAAATAAATTTATTAAAATCTTATCACTTGTATTTAGGTGCGGACCCATTAAGGGTCCAGTGAGTGCAATTGTCCCTACGGGACTTTTAATTTTTGACATTGAAAAAAAGCCCAAATAGTTTGTCCATTATTTTTAACCCAATCCCAATCATTTTTTATTTAATTCTATCTCGATCCCATCTGAGTCCTCCTCTACTTATATTGTTTAATATTTTCACGAGTTTTTGCTTATTTTCATTGGAGGAGAATTATCAAAGAATATCTAGGAAGATTCGTACGCGTCTAGATAGCTTTCATGGACTATAAAGAAGGCGCAAAAAAGCTACTAATAAGAGTAATTGCTGGAATATACCACTTTTTTCTTTTCTCCTATAATACTATGTGATGTACTTAATTACCAAGAAATTTATGAAGTATTCTGTCATTTTTACACCACATTTATTTGCAAAGTGCTATGCTCAATATCACTTAAAGTTGATCCTCGAACTTCAAAAAAGAGCAATTTTACCCCCCAAAAATAATCCTTCATGATAAACCGTTCAAATTCTCATCAAACTTTTACTTAACTCTCATGAAAATATGTCACACTTCAAATCAATGGGCACGACACAAGTTCTAGAAACAAAGTATAATTTCACAGAACTTACAAAGATCGCTCGATGATTTAACATACATTTGAACAATTTTTTACTTTAAAAATCTGTTGATTGTCTATAAGTAAGAGTTCATGACTAACTTACTTTAAAGCGTAGGAGTGGTATAATTTTTCCCAATATTCTTTATCAAAGTTGATTTGGGTCAACTTCAAGAAAATTCTTCACTATTAGAAGAAGTTGATCAAGAACAGAATATTTAATCAGAAAAAGCAATTAGTACCACCTGTCACTGCAGTCCATGTACAGTTGGTGAACTAAGAAAAACTAATAACTCTCTCTCTCTCTCTCTCTCTCTCTCCTGTGCCTGAAACTGTGTTCCAAAAGCTTCTTCAGTCTAGGTAGGGGTGTTAAATGAGTCTAGTTGAATCGCTCAATTCGGCCATTGTGCAAGCCTACTTGTGTTAACCTGTAAGGTGAGTTGGGCTTGAGACGGCTTGTTTCATCGAATGTGGCTCGATTTGTACCACGAACTCGCTTCATTGCAAGACGAGCCGAGTTGGCTCATGATTCAATTTTTTTTTTATTTATTTATTGAAATTGCTTTTTTATTCAGTTATGAGTTATGACGAGCCAACTTGACTTATTAGCGGTGCGAATGACTTGACCTATTTAATACATTCAAGTCTAGAGGAGGCTACAAGAAATAAGTAATTAATCACTGACTAAATTATCCTACTATGGACAATTGGTTTTGCATTAATTTCTTTGCCGAACGTGGAAAATGTTGAAGTTAAAAAACTGCAAAATGAGTAGTTTTATTGACGAAAATTGCATGGTTCGGCAAGCATGGCCGGAGTATCCGGCTCATGCAGGCCTAGTGAAAGTCATATTCAGTATAGTTGATTGTAAATTGCCTCAAGTCGAAGCACTTTTGACGGGACGCTGTTTTTAAATTTTTATTTTTTGGCGAATTTTATTTGGAAATCAAATATTTTATAAAAAAAAATAAAAAAAAATAAAAAGGTTGAATCCCAACCTTGAAGGCCCCCACCGTCCCGTCCCTAAAGTTTTGTGAGGGAGGTAAATCGCGGGATGTGCCCCAACAAGTTAGGGAACAAGAGCTGCATGTACACTGCGCCTACAAGGAGTTCAATTTCATGCTTCAAAAATCGAACCCTCACACTGCGGTTGCCAGTAAAGCATGAAATAACATCACTCCTATCCTTTACACCACTAGGCTATGCCCCGAGGGCAATGAAATATTTTATATATGGCATTTTTTTGGATGGATTATTTTTCTTTGAACAATTTGATTGTACTCAAAAGTTACTTTCTTTAAAAGCATATCTCCAATTAGTTTCTTATGTGCTTAAGTCAGCTAATTAAATTAATTTTGCATATTTAAGTGTTTTGTAATTTTATTAAGGAAAGATTCAAATACTCAGATTACGAGTGCCATATTCTTATAGAGTTTCCTCGGAGCAAACCCAACAATTATCGACTAAAAATAGTAATGTCTAGATATTGAACTTATGAAACCATCAATAGTTTATGTTATACGGTACATTATATGTAAATATGACATGACTTAAAATTGTTATCAAATAATAATTGTGATCCAGAATCCCAATCATTTTTTATTTAATTCTATCTCGATCCCATCTGAGTCCTCCTCTACTTATATTGTTTAATATTTTCACGAGTTTTTGCTTATTTTCATTGGAGGAGAATTATCAAAGAATATCTAGGAAGATTCGTACGCGTCTAGATAGCTTTCATGGACTATAAAGAAGGCGCAAAAAAGCTACTAATAAGAGTAAGTGCTGGAATATACCACTTTTTCTTTTCTCCTATAATACTATGTGATGTACTTAATTACCAAGAAATTTATGAAGTATTCTGTCATTTTTACACCACATTTATTTGCAAAGTGCTATGCTCAATATCACTTAAAGTTGATCCTCGAACTTCAAAAAAGAGCAATTTTACCCCCCAAAAATAATCCTTCATGATAAACCGTTCAAATTCTCATCAAACTTTTACTTAACTCTCATGAAAATATGTCACACTTCAAATCAATGGGCACGACACAAGTTCTAGAAACAAAATATAATTTCACAGAACTTACAAAGATCGCTCGATGATTTAACATACATTTGAACAATTTTTTACTTTAAAAATCTGTTGATTGTCTATAAGTAAGAGTTCATGACTAACTTACTTTAAAGCGTAGGAGTGGTATAATTTTTCCCAATATTCTTTATCAAAGTTGATTTGGGTCAACTTCAAGATAAGGTTTTCGGTGGAAGTTAGGATAAAAACCCAAGAATTTTCTCTTGTTCTTGACTGATTTTAATGCTTATCTAATCAGACAAAATATTCATCAGCAAATTGTAGGAATAGTTATGGGGACGACAATATTTGGTTGCGTGTTAGCGGCATAGGTGTGTCGGCCCACATAAAGTTCCATTGAAATTTGTAAAGGTCGGAAAATTAAAGAAGCAGCAAAAGGTTTTCTGCAATGAATGCACTTCTCGTTTTATTTTATTCATCCTGAAATTAGGTTAGTAGTATACTGAGGGCCTGTTTGACAAAACTTTTAAAAAGTTCAAAATTATTTTTGAACGTACTTTATTTGATTAAAACAATTTTAAAAAAAAATTGATCTAAGCAGCTTTTTCATAAGAAGCAAAAGCAAAAAAACATAAACTATGCCAAAATGAAATATAAATTATTATGTGTTAAAATTATTTAATGTTATCTAAATATACTCGATATAAGCACATGATATTACTCCCTAAACTCGTAATTATAAACTGGTAACAATTAAAATTCAA